ATATATAATGTGTGTATGTATGTATATATGTGTGTGTAAAAAAAAAAGTATACATATATATACATAGCGCTCCTCCTGGACAATCATTCACCAGCCACCACTGGATGGGACACATATAAGGGGAGGGGTTCAGTGTCTTGCCTAGGGGCACTTCAACATGTGAATGCTGGTAGAATTAAACCCCCAACTCTCCCAATGAAGGATGATGGCTCTAACCACTCAGCTACAACTGCCCCCAAGAGTGAATCTAAACCATCATGCCATGCAAATATAATGAACAGTAAACAGTTGTACCTCAGCACCTCCCCATGTCATTTCAGTACTCTTGAACACGAAACAGCGGTTTCGATATAAAGTCCATGAAGGAGGGCATCTCTTACAATGACGGCAAACTACAAAAACAGAAGAAAAAGTGATTTTTATTAAATATGATTGAAATGTAGTAAATGACCAAAACAAGTTTTTTATTAATGTGACACTTTTGCATGAAATACAACCATTTAATTATCTGCAGTTCATTTGGTGTGAGATATGAGATATTTAAGACCCCCTACTTTACCTTTAGGAAAGAAAATTCAGAGTTCAAATTTAATTTACCATTCATCCATCCATTTTCTTCCGCTTATCCGGGGTTGGGTCGCGGGGGTAGCAGCCTAAGTAGGGAGGCCCAGACTTCCCTCTCCCCAGCCACTTGGGCCAACTCTTCCGGAGGAATCCCGAGGCGTTCCCAGGCCAGCCGAGAAACATAGTCCCTCCAGCATGTCCTTGGTCTTCCTCTGGGCCTCCTCCCGGTGGGACGTGTCCGAAACACCTCACCAGGGAGGCGTCCAGGAGGCATCCTAAACAGATGCCCGAGCCACCTCAACTGGCTCCTCTCGACACGGAGAAGCAGCAGCTCTACTCTGAGTCCCTCCCGGACGATCGAGCTTCTCACCCTATCTCTAAGGGAGAGCCCAGACACCCTGCGGAGAAAACTCATTTCGGCCGCTTGTATCCGAGATCTCGTTCTTTCGGTCACAACCCAAAGCTCATGACCATAGATGAGGGTAGGAACGTAGATCGATTGGTAAACTTGAGAGTTTCGCCTTTTGACTCAGCTCTCTCTTCACCACGACAGACCTGTACAGCGCCTGCTTCACTGCAGACACTGCACCTATCCACCTATCGATCTCACGCTCCATTTTTCCCTCATTTGTGAACAAGACCCCAAGATACTTGAACTCTTCCACTTGGGGTAGGACCTCCTCCATGACCTGGAGAAGGCACTCTACCCTTTTCCGGCTCAAGATCATGGCCTCAGATTTGGAGGAAATGATCTTCATCCCGGCCGCATCGCATTCGGCTGCGAACCGCTCCAGCGAAAGCTGTAGATCATGATCTGATGAAGCCAACAGGACCACATCATCTGCAAAAAGCAGAGAAGCAATCCTAAGGCCACCAAAACGGATCCCCTCGACACCTTGGCTGCGCCTAGAAATTCTGTCCATAAAAGTTATGAACAGAATCGGCAGACCGAAATTTAATTTACCTTACATTTTAATTAAAACCACAAGTGTACATTTTGATTTATAAAACTGTAGAAGTGTATAGTTTGAGGGACTAAGAAGTTCCTTTTGTAAGTGTTGTGTGTTGTCATCATTGGCTGTTGCCATGCAATGGCAAAATTAGTTTTCTGCGTTTAACCCATTGCACCTGGGATACACCCATGTTGAGCAGTGGGCAGCATATGTAGGCGGCCGGGGAGAAATTAGGGATTGGGTGTCTTGCTCAGCGATACAAGGACTTGTGGGAATGGCTGGGGATTGAACCTGGGACTTTCAGGTCCCAAGTCAGCTGCACTGCCTCTACACCATCTCATCTCCCCGAAAGTCTGAATGCCCCTTTTGAAATACTTTTTTTTTTAGTTTAAGCCCCATAAAATATGGACATTATGTGAAAGTCTCCAAAAACTACAAATTTTAAACTGTTATGAAAAACTGTTAAAAACCTTAAAATGCCAGTTTGGACATATAAGGTGACACTTTATTTGTCTTGTTAATGATGTTTCCACTCTGATTTTTTTCTGAGACAAACATGGATGAATTTGATTTTGTCTCACTTGTACAAATTGTTGCTACCAAAAGTCCTAACAACCTATTGCCTATGGAGTTGCACATTGTGATTTATATTTTACCTGAGTTTTTCTGAACTGTGGGAGGAATAGCTAGCCAAAAATCAGACAATCTGAAGAATAAATAACAAATGCTAATAGGGTCTTCGGTGGTTCTACATTTGTCCCCATTGATTTGAATCCCGGGCAGCACGGTGGCGCAACTGGTAGAGCTGCTGCCTCTCAGCGAGCAGGTCCCTGGTTCAAACCCCGGTCCAGGGGCCTCTCTGGGTGGAGTTTGCATGTTCTCTCCGTGCATGCGTGGGTTTTCTCCGGGTACTCCGGTTTCCTCCCACAGTCCAAAAACATGCATGTTTGGCTGATTGGTAACTCTAAATTGTCCCTAGGTGTGAGTGAGAGAGTGAATGGGTGTTTGTCTCGTTTGTCTCTATGTGGCCCTGTGATGGACTTGCGACCCGTCCAGGGTGTACCCCGCCCCTCGCACAGTGATTGCTGGACATGGGCACCGGCGACCCCCGTGACCCAAAATGGAATAAACGGGTAAAGATAATGGATGGATGGATGGATGGATTTGAATCCCAACAACAACAAACTCAGTTTAAAGAACATCTTTGTTGAGTTTTGTAAAACATACTACACATTTTGTGATTTCATGGATGGCCTAACCAAAAAGTTTGTTCATCAGAATGACTGGTTTTTAAAACTTAACCAGAAAAAAATTAAAAAAAGAAGATAAACACTAACCTGGCTGTGCATCACAAAGTATCTGTGGATGTAAAAAAAAAGCACAGAGTCAGAAACAGATTTCAACATGTTTGTTGTGAGCATGAATGTAGATCACATATGCAAAAAAATAAAAAAGGTGAGAAGTACTATATTTATGTAAACAATTTCAGTCAAAAACTTTACTTGTTTTTTCTATAAAATATTTTTAAAAGTCCAATATATTATTTTTTGGTATATAATATAAATATATAATATGTTTCTTTGTATTTACTTAAAGCTGACTTTTTTGTAAACTTACATTTCCTCCGATCCCCAATCCACAAAGGAGCAACATGAAGAGCAGACCTGATGACATCTGTGCAAACATCAGTGTTAATTTATAGTTCAGACAGAAACTTAGAGTACAAATATTTCAATCTGCAATATCAATGTGTGTTTTAAATGGATTGTCACTAAAGGTTTTAAATGTCCTATTACAGTGAAAACAATAAACTTAGTGTTTATTGCTTTTTATCAATAACTTCATTTTGACACCAAGTCTTTATAAATAAGTCTTGTTACTATACAAAGTTTGTTTTCTCAGTCATCCAGGTATATAACAACAAAAAAGGTTGAATCATGTCATCTGGACTTCGTTTTTTTGTTAAAAAGAAACGTTTCGCCCCTCATCCAAGAGGCTTCGTCGGTCTGAGGCCTAGCCATCTGGTATTACCCAGAAGACATGATTCAACCTTTTTTGTTGTTATATACCTGGATGACTGAGAA